TCCACATGGGGGTCATGTCGAATATCGTATTTATCATAGATAATTAATGCGAATAAATCTGAAGTTTTAAAGATCGAAACGATTTATAATAAATCGTTCCTTTTATAAACCCATATTTTCTCTTTCCATATATATATATATACGTTATTTTTATAAAATGTTATAGCTCGAAATTGTAAAATTATACATTTTTAAATAATTTTTATTCACTTTTACTTTTATGTAGGTGGTTCCTTCAAAATTTAGATTACATTTACATATTCAGATATGTTTTTCGAATTGGCTATACCAAGATAGCGCAGAACATTAAATCACGTTGAGTCGTAAATTTTCTTAGTGGACCGAAGAGAAAGAAGAACGGTTTTGCTATCTCTCTCTTTCTCTCTCATTCTTCAACACACACACACACACACACACACATATATATATATATATATATATATATATACATATATATATTTGTGTACTGTTTTATAGATAAATGTGTGCGAGAGAAATTGACGTATATATGTATTTCTCATAGAAGTATGTGAAATTGAGTGCCTAAGAAAGCACTTTCTGTAATTTCCACTCTCCCTTCTTCACCCTTCCCCATATTTCTATATTTCTCTTTTTAAGAAATAATAGAAAAAAAAAAAAATAAAAAAAAACAAATATAAGAAAAGAAACGGGGAGTCGATTTTCTATCGAATTTGTAGAGTCAAAGTAGAATTTTAAAACAATACGATTGTTCTTCTGACTTCTACGATTTCACTGTAGTAAACCAGTGAAAACGTGTATGAGATAATAAAAGCGAAAGCAAACTATAAAAAAAAAAAAAAAAAAAAAAAAAAGAAGAAGAAGAAAAAAGTAATGCACAAGTATATGAAATTGTTGAAAAATATAGTATGGTTGAAAAATATCAAAGTATGGTTGAGAAATACATAGCTACTTTTTTTATTTTTTTTTTTTTTTAGAAGACAAAACATATGTATTTAATATGCAGAAATAAAAATGATCTTCCTACATTATTATATTTAATTTAAACAATTTGGAGTTCAAGTATTTTGGAATTTTTTCAATTCTATAATTTAATTCTTTTTTAATTGAAGAATCATATTAATGTCTTCTCATTCGATTGTCTAATTGAGTCATAATTTCTGATATTATTATATCTTATATGGAATTAAACAATTATTATATATAGATTCTTGAAAAAGAAATAAAAAAAAAAATAAAAAAATAAAAAATAATCTGAACGAGGTTACGAACGCGTGTCTTTTGATTCAGGTGTCTTTCCTTGACATTTAATTAATTTCCATTCACCATCGTTTCGATTATGGCTTTTTTTTTTTTTTTTTTTTTCTTCAATTTTTTTCCTTTTCACGTCAGTGAATAATAAGTAAATAATAAGTAAATTTCTTTACGTGTGCTTACGTCTTTATGCAAGCACCGCGTTACCGTATTAATGAGCCGGTTTTGACCTTCTTAGATTCTAACTCGACCATGGTGGAAACTTATCTAACGATTGAGAACTAGATTATTACTAATCATTTTTTTTTGTTCTTTTGGAAGTCCGGTTAGCCGTATTGCAAAAGCATAATCAAATTCAGAATGCCCTTAGTTCAAAATTTATTCTTGTTTTATGTGTTATTTAAAAATCTGAATTTTTCCTATTGATAATTTTTTTTTCCTTTTTTCATTCGATTAACAACATTTTTTATTTCATTCATTCATTCATTCATTAATATTAATATTTGTTTGTTTGTTAAGGGCGGCCAAAGTGGATTTGAAGATATTCGAAGATATGTTAAACAAGGTGGAGATTTTTGCAAAGAGTTGGCTTCGATTCTTCATGAAAGGTATGATTCTTTATGAAAGTTATTATTTTGATGTGTAATTATTTGTAATAAATGCAAAATAATTGTGCATACACGCATAATAAATCAAAGTTGCAAATCATATTGTCATATTTTATGATATGATTATAATATTCTTAATGAACAAACTCAAGTACTCGTATTTTTATATATATATATATATATATATATATATATATATATTTTTTTTATATAAACATACAAAATATATATACATGTATAGAAAAATGTAATTTAAATTTGTTTAATTTCTTTCTTATTGATTAGGGCTGAACTGGAAGCTACGTATGCTAAAGGGCTAAGTAAATTGAGCAGTAAATTAACTAAGGCTTGTTCCAAAGATCAAAGTAAGTAAAAATTATTTTGATATTTTTCTCTCCAAGAGAATTATAGAAAAGAATTATTTATTATTATAATTTCTTGAAAATTATTTAATATATTATGGTTTTAATTATTTAAAAAAAAAAAAGACAAAAAATTAAGCTGTATATATTTTTTTGTCAAATAATTTTTTTTTTTAATTATACGAATTTATTAAAAATTTTTAACATACGTACATGCACATCTTTCACATATATATATATATATATATATATATATATATATATATATATATATATATACTTATTAATTTATTTACGCAGGTGGAAACAGCAATGGAGGTGTGAACGAGGCATGGAGGTGTGTCGGAGAAGAAATGGAAGCTGCTGCTGAAGCCCACAGAGTATGGGGCATTGCGTTAGGCGAACAATTAGCAAAACCGTTGAGAGTAAGTTTTATACATAGATATATAATTATTCGATCGTGAAATAAGCTGAGTTATATATGTAGGTGCTGAATGACGTCATCTTCTACATAAATTCTATCGCGTTTTACAACGATTACGACATTTTCAATTTCTAAAACTCTGCTGCAATTTATTCTCCATTCTTCTGTATAACGTTAAGGAATTATCTAAAACGTACATATTTTACAGATAGATTTTGTTTGAATAAAGAAAAGTAAAAAAAATTATTCGGTGAAATTCAGTTCGATGAAGTTGAAGATTTTTGTTTATTAAAAAAAAAAAAAAAAAAAAAAAAAAATAAATAAATAAATAAATAAATAAATAAATAAATAAATAAATAAATGAAAAAACAGATAAAACATTTACGTTTATAACAGATAATTTGTTAATTGTAAAATATTACAAATATATTAAAAGCATTCTAATGAAGTAAATATTTTAATGTTAACAGTTATGATTTATTATCATTTTAGAATTTAATTGATATTTATTAAAAATGAATGTTCATAGGTGGGCGTAGCAGAGGCTCAAGGTCGCTCGAGAAAATCAATTGAAAATTCTGTGGACAAAGCATTAAAGTCTCTACAGGAATGGCGTAACATTGCTTCAAAGACCAAGAAGCAAAGTTTTGCTTGTGCAAGAGAGAACGAAAGGCTGCAGGATTTGGCAAGATTGCAATCTATCAGTCAAAGCCAACAAAATAATAATAAATCATCTAATCACCATATGACAGAAAAAGAAGCGAATAAATTAGAAGCTAGGAGACGAAAAGCTGAAGATTCTTCTCGTAGAGCTGATACAGAATTTTACACTGTTAGCGTAAGAGCTGAAAGAGCTAGATTGGAATATGAAAGTACGGTAAAAAAAGGATCTAAACAAATGGAACTCCTTGAAGAAGAACGTTTGAGTGCCTTGAAAGATCTTGCCAATGTTTATTTGGCACATTTGCAAGCACTTGCTCCTCGTCTACAGCAGGTAAAAAAATTCCTTCATTATTATATCCATAATATCGTTTTATAATTTTATTATTAATTTGTAATTCAATGTTTTTTTAGAGTGCTGATCGTTTATCTACACCCATACGAAATTGTAATGTATCTCAGGATGTGGAAATTTTGAAGAATCTTATACGTAGAACAGAAAGTAATGATACAGTCAATGCAGAACAATTACTTCCAGATTTTTATGCGGAACATATAACGTTAGCAATGAACAGAGAACGACGAAAACAATCATTAGTTAGAATTTTGCATTTAATAAGACAAGATCTAGAAAGAGAAAGGCGAGGAAGAGAAGGATTGGAAACTTTACATAGAGCTTTTATCAAGACACCTGCATTCGCAGCTGATGAAAGTACACAAAATGTTACAGACAAATTACATCATGTAAGTATAAAAAAAAAGGAATCTACAATACCTATTATATATTTTTTCTAATCAATTATTCCTCTTTTTTTTTTTTTGTAAAGATGCGTTCTATGCTACTATATTTGGAAGCTGCAAGATATAAAGTTGGTGGGACATTAGCAGAAGTTGAAGGTAGCAAAAGGAACAAGCATCCTTTAGCAGAACACATATTAGTTTCTAGAGATAAACAAGGACTTCAGCAAAGTGTTCTCAAGGTAAGAAATAATATAAAAATCTTTACAATTATTATATGAACATCTATAAAATAAATATGTTATTATTATATTTAAATATTAATAATTTTTCTAGATTCCTTCTTGGGCAAGGAATGAATCTTTTGAGATACAAGATATTGATGACGAAATAGATGTACATTTAGTAAAAGGACATGAAACTGAGAACCGAGACTGGGCGGATAGAACGGCTGGTGATGGTAATTCAGAAAATCCACCGGATGAAGAAGATTTTAGTGATTTCGATGAATTCAGTAGTCATTCAGAAGACAATAATAATCAAGACGTTGATGTTACGGTTGTAACACCTAAGTCAGATAGTACGGAACAGTGCAGGGCAATATATCATTATGCTGCAAATCTTAATGACGAATTAAGTCTGAATCCTGGTGACTTAATAACTGTTCATCAAAAACAAGCAGATGGCTGGTGGATAGGTGAATGCAAAGGACGAACTGGTATATTTCCTGCTACATATGTTCAAGTAATACATTAAAGGATATTATCTATCACACAATGTATTTTGATGATTTTTTTTTTATCAAATACCAAGGAACAAAGTGCCAATGATTAAAAATTAAAACGGCGATGTAAACGCACAAAACACGTGATTAAACCATAATTAGCTCAACATATAAAATTATATTAATGTTACCAACCATGTTATTAGAATATAACAGGTACTTATGCTGTAACAATTGTTAATGTCCTTACGCAATTTGTTTTCTTTACATTTATCATAATATAATTTAAATGATTTTATAGCGCTATGAGCTAACTGGTTAAATCCTTTGTCATTAGAAATTGTATATAAAATAATATAAATGTTGCCAATTGTAAATATTAGTCAAAAAATAATTTAAATGCGATACGTACAAGTATAAACGCTATATATAAATAGTATTTTTAAGATAAAAAATGCATTTATTTACGAAAATAATATCTGTATATATGTTATGACCTTTTCATTGTTTCTCATTATTCATGATGCCCCTATTATGGACTTTGTCCGTAACATATATAATAAAATTACGTATTTCTCTCTTTCTTTCTTTCTCCCTCTCTCTCTCTCTTTCTCTCTCTCTCTTTTAATCCTGAAGCTCATCAATATAATCGATTTTCAAATGTGTTTTTATTTCTTTTGGTAATTCTGTTTCATTAACTAAAATAATCACATTAATTTTATTATATGTATATTAAAAGTTTATCATATTAGCAATTTGAAATAATATTTACCACAATATGGTGTACTATTTGAAGTAATTAGAAAAAAAGTTCCACGTTGAGGATAATTCTCTGCTTTAATTCCCATTTCAATGCAATTATCTTCGTTACATGATTCAGACATTATTTGTTTTATATTTCTATATGTCAAGTCCCAATGATGTGACCAGAAACTACAATTATTCATAGAAGTTAATAAAAGAGATTCAGTAAGATAAACATAAGAACGACCATGACTGCATATTGCTTGTTGAATAACTGAAAATAAATAATTTCTTTCATATTATAAAATTATTTAAAAAAAGTTATATTATCTTACATGTTTGAGGAATAGGTAAATAGCCAAAGATCGTTCTGTTGGATTCAGAACAACCTGGTTGATATTGGCCTCCATTAGGATAGAAATCTACGTGACCTTGGCATATTAATTATTAATATATTAGAACTTTACATTACTAATAAAAAATAAACTATAACAAATATATAACAAACCAATAGGCTCTGGTAAACCTAAGCCAAGATTGGAGAGTAATTTTCCATTAGTATGAATTATATCAACAAATGGTGCATCTGTTTTATCCAAATGAATAGATGAATCTGTATTTCTGAAACATGGCTGTGCTGGATCTAGACCAGTGATTCTATGTATTATCCAATTACTTTCTTTTTTCTTAAATTCTTTTGCAGCAAAGCCACAAATATGTGCTCCAAGACTATGTCCAATTAAATGTATAGTACCCCAATTAGATGTAACTTTTGTTGCATTTACGATATGTTCTAAAAATCTTTATAGACAAGAATATTATTTATCAAATTAATTATTATAGATGTTAGAAATGAATCATTTATATGCAACATACTTTGCAATTTGATGTCCAACTATTTTAGTATTGATGGCAGCTTTATAATAATTCCACGTATTACCTTCTGCACTCCAATCCACGATTATTACATTAACATCATTCTATTAAATATAGAAACAAGATAAATATATGAAATATGTTTTTATTAAAATAATAAATTTGTTCTACAATACCCATTTAAGAAATGCTTCCTCCATTTCAGTAATCCATTTCTCATTGCTGTGAGATAAAAATCCATGTACTATTATAATAGTTCTACGTTCAATTTTAAAATCTGTCCATTCCAAACCAAACTGTTCACCAATATACACTTGTACTCTGTTCGGCTGATTTCTTGATGATAAAAGAAATTGAATATCTAATAACTTTAATTCATTAGCTTTGTCAGAAAAAAACCATGCTAAAACAATAGCAACTGTTTTTCCTAAACCAAAACAATCTATTTCTTTATTATTAGACATAAAATTTACTAAATCATCACGGACTTTGTCTACCCATGTATAAGTAAAATCTGATAAATTTTTATTTAACAAATTTGTTCTATTATTGTTCAAACAGGCGCAATTCATGATTAAAACATTATTTAATGCAATTGCCAATACTATATATAATAACATTATAATACTGATATTGAACACTTTAGGCACACACAAAAAATATATGTATTTAAATTAACTTTATTAACATTTCCACGGCAAAGCTTTTTGGGATATATCTTTAATTATTTTATGAATATATATATATATTTTTTTTTTTTATATTTCGAATATAATTAGAATATTATAGAAATTAATAGAATAATATAAAATAATATAATACGTTTGAAAATTACAGAGTGATACTCATTACATAGTTTGATTTGAACTGAATGTATGATTCTTTTCAACTGGGAAGCAATTAGTTATTTGTAATGGATTTAATTATTTCTATCTCCTATATTCTAAATAAACATGAGATAAAAGGTTCGATATAGAGGCGATCAAATACACGTGATACTCGTTGTGAAAGATATTAAAATAATGACCTTTCATATTATGAATATAAAATCAGAATTTATCATTATCATAAATTCAATGATAAGGCATGTCATGTAAATATAAACAGTAAACATAAAATAACCTTAATAACTTTCTTTGTTACATCGTTTGATTAATCTATATATTGTAACATTTTTTTTTTATTAATAATGTTATATATATATATATATATATATATATATATATATATATATATATATATATATATAATATATACACAAATGGATTGTTATGTGTTCATGTATAATATTATATATTTTTAAACGAAAAAATAATTAAAAAATATATATATATATTTATGTAGTCAGATTTTGCTTCTTTTTCTTTCGTTTATTTTTTTTCTTGCCCTGCTATAAAAAAAGAAGAACGTTAATTGTTAATAAATTTTATACATTGATATAATTATCTTCATATTTATAAAAATATATACATATGTAAATCCTTACTTTTGGCTGTACAAAGTTTGCTTGACTTGTTCCATCATTAATAATACTACCACCTTGGAAAGCTTTATTAAAGTCAACAGATTTATAGTCAAACTTTTCTACAGGAAGCATTCCTTTTTGTCTTAATTCTTTTTCATTTGCTTTTTTTTCTCCTTTCTTACGTGCCCTATAAAGGGAAAAAAAAAAAAGAAAAAAAAAAAAAAAAAAAAAAAAAAAAAAAAATAAATATATCAAGATTTATTTACATGGATATAAAAATGAGTATCAATTATACCTTAAAGGTTTAATAGTATCATTCTGCAAATTTTGATTATGTGAAACATTTTGTACAGTTATTTGTTTATTTTGTTCATTCGTTGTATCTGTGTTTATAAGTAATTCTTTATTCACACCTTGCATTATCTTCTTGTTTAAAGAAGGAATTGGTGTAGACAAATTACTATCAGATCGTTCATCCGATGAATCTCTCACAGATAAATTTCTTTTTCTTTTTCTTCCAGGCAAACAAAGAGAGAAGATTTTGTTTTTTCTACGACATGAACTTTGACCCGATGTAGTTTGATCGGGAAGAGATTTCTGATCAGTCTTAAATGTAGGCGAAGGTGTATCTTCGATTTTCGATTTATTTAATCTTTCTTCTTCTTCTTTTTCTTGGTTTTGTCTGTCTTGTTCTTCTTGTTTAGCTATCACAGGTATTACACGTTTGTATCTTTCAAAGGGACTAATGAATATGAATTTTTTCTTTTTATTTTGTTCCATTTCATTAGAAGTTGATTGTTCATTCTAAAAAAATTAAAAATAATATTTTTGTTTATAATTTATAAATATATAATTTTTTTAACTTATATAATATATAATAATTATAAATATTAGAAATTACCTCAGATGAGTTTGGACTATCAAATACTGTAATGCTATGTTTTACATTAATATTGCTATTTAATATTTTTTCTATTTCTAATTGATTTAATTGATCTAACAGACAAGGTAAATCGGCTCTAGCTTCTGTACCACTTGGTATATCGTGAGGAGAATAAGTCCAAGCTTCTGAATTTACTCCATGATTTTCTCTAACAAATCGTTGTCTAATATCAGTTTCTTTCACTGGTTTTATTAAAGGTTGATCTCGTGCTTTAAGTATGATCTTATGAAGTTTTAATAAGTTTTGTCGAAGCAATGGTGGAATTGGATTACAACAAGCCAAAATCCCTTGCATTTCACGTGGTAATGTCTCAGCTATATTTAAAAGCATATGATTTGGTAAAACATAACCAGTGCTATCGTCTTCCTCTCTAGCCGTCATGTCTCTCCATTTATGTAATTCTTTCAAAGCATAAATTTGTTTATTATTAAAGAATTTTTGACTTTTCCTATACATATTCATATAACTTTCTTCTGTCCATATTGGCTTTACATAAGTTAATTTACATATCTCTGTACTTCTATCATATACAGCTTTTAAAATGTTAGTCTTCCCATTTGAAGAATCAATTAATGCATTTCTTAAAATATCTTTAATATGCAATAAATAATGCGTATCTTCTCTTGCATATTTTAAAAGTTCATCGGGTAAAGGTCTTATACGCCAATCAGCAAGTTGAAAATGTTTGTTCGGATCTATGTTACAAAATCGTTTCAAAAGATAAGATAAACTTAAATATGGTAAATTAAGTTGTTTAGCAGCTTGATGGGTATCAAACATATTTACAACATATATAGACAAATCTCTTTGAAGCCATTGAATGTCAAATTCTGCTCCATGGAACACTTTTAGTATAGTAGATTTTGTAAAAATCTCATTAAGCTCATGTAATTCCGATCTTAATGTTAATGTATCAATTATATAATCAGTATCACCAGTTGATATTTGCATCAAACAAGTTATACCTTGAAAACTTCTATAAGAATGATGTTCCAAATCGACAGCAATCTCTTGATATCTTTTTAAATCATCTAATAAAATTTTGATATCTTCCGGTTTGTTTATCATAATTAACGGAGTTTTATGTAATGTTTTATACTTAACTGGTTCACCTTTTTGTAATTGATTATCCGGAGGTTGAAATTTATTCAATTCAAATTCATAAGGATGACAAAATACCTCTCCATCTTCGGTTTCTTCTAAATAAATAGCTAATGGTTTTAAAGAATTTGGCTTATCTTTAATTTTAGGTTCCCAAGGTTTTAAACTATTATCAATTTTGTCTTTAAAAGTTAATTGTGGTCTTTGTATATTTCTTGCAGTCAATAGACGTACCGCTTGTGCAGTTTTAGATGTATCAGATAATTGTTTGTTATTTCCAGATGTTATAATATTCCAACTACCGCTGGTATCCTTCTTGGTTTGCGATACAACTAATTCTATTTCAGGATTTTTTAATATACCACATTCTTCATCCATACACAAGCCTGCCTTATCTAAAAACACATCATTTGCTTCTAATAAAAGTTCAAACTTTTCTTCTATATCACGTCCATCTATATTATCGCTCACTCCTGATATATTAATTATTTTTTGCATCATCTTTAATAACCTTTCCGAATTTTCTTTTCTAGCTTTATTAAAACTCGGAAAACATTCATAATAATTAAAGTTTTCTCCATTTGGTAAATTATTTGCTGCTTTGATTCCTTCTCTTATAGCATCAAATACTTCCTTAAGATAATCGTCGAACGTAACAAAACCTTCTACAACTTGTGTACTTTCGATATTTTCCTCTTTTTTAGTTTCATTTTCAATAATAAATATCTCATTATTGTCATCCCAATTTTCTGTCGTCTCCATTGTATTAAATACTCACATGAATTTAATAAAAAATTAACATACGTTATTTTTAGGTTATGATTTCAATGCTGTACACGATATATTATAGTTTGGATTTGTGACACCTTCCTTTTTTCTTTTTGATAACAATCACCATGGAAATAAATTATTCATTTTTGGATGAACAATGATCAAGTTAAAATATAAGTAATAAATATATTAGAAAAATATATTGATTTCCTTCGAACTTTAGATATTACGGCGCCTCTTAGAAACATGTGAATAGACGACGCCATGAAATATTTTGACTTCACAGATATTAGTCACTAAGTTAGAAAAACATGTAACACATTAACGTAAAATATTATCTTTGAAATTTTCTTTATCGGTGTGCGTAATAATTTAATTAAAAGATTAAAATAAATTTTATAAATACATTGTATCGTGTTTCGTTATAAAAATACAATTATATCTATTGTAGCGTGTGTGTAAATTAAGGAATTAGATAATAGGAAAATATCATAACCTCTTTGTTCAAAATACAAGTAGACAAGGAAATGGAGAGAAAGATTCATTGGAAAATTATTATTTAAATCGTTTATTACAACAAAACGATGTATTATTATAGATGCTATACCGTGTAGACCAAAAACGAATGGATTTAACAGTCGATCGGTCGGCATATATTAACCACAAGAGACCGTACGAATTTGTTAAATTATTTATTGCTAACGATGAGCTCGTTCGTCGTGCAATTTAACCACATAGACATATGTACATATATATATATATATATATATATACATATACATATACATATACATATATATACATATACATATACATATCAATTTATCTTTCTTAGTATTGACCATCTCATTGCATATCTGTTCACAATCGGATATAATAAAATATATATGTATATATACATACATATATATATCTCCATTAACAAACCTTCTTTCTCTCTATCTAAAAGCACACAGCAAAACAATTGCAACGGCCGTCGATTGAATTATTAATTATTTTTACATTTTTCCGGTTTCATTACAAACGTAATAATCCATGTTTTCAATCGTTATAGATTAGTTGAGTATATCCATTCTGAAGTTATAAATTAGTTTGGTGCATATTTTTACGCAACGTGACAAAGTTAACTTCTACCTGGTAATTGAAAAAATTTGCAGTCTTCTGTCGTACTCCTATCTGTTTTTTTTTCTTTCTTCTCAATTTTTTTTCTTTTTTTTTTTTTTTTTTTTTTTTTTTTAATGTTTACATTCTATAATGTATTCGTTCCTCCTCCACCTCCTCCTCCTTTTCCTCTCTCCCTACCTCTTTCTCTTCCTCCTTCTCCTCCTTCGGCAAATGTCGTTAAACTTCTCGCGTAATCATTTCGTAAAGGAGACAATTAGGTTCGATGCATTTTTGCTCGTCCATTGGACAATGGTAGCTTGCATGATAAGCGTACCGTCACTCCTCATCAACAATTTCACAACTATGATATTTGCTGGATGAATCCAACCAACTTTCTACACCACTTGAAGCGAGATCATCGCAGGACGGTAATTCCGGTAGGGGTTCCATGTTAGGTGCACCCTTTTTAGTTAGATTATTCGTCATTCTTTCTTTTGGTTTAGCACCAGCCACTAAAAAAAAACAAAATAGGATGAATGAAACGTGGTGTTTTATTTAAAAACTTTTCTTTTCTTTTTTTCTTTTTTTTTGAAGATTATAAATTCAAAGGAATATACAGAGAGAATGAAGGAAAGAGAGAGAGAGAGAGAGAGAGAGAGAGAGAGAGAGTTTACCATTGTTGGACGTAAGATTGGTATCTTTTCTATGTATCAAAGTTTGTCTAGACGTTCGTGGACTTCTATGATCACTACTTAGCCCTATCCCAGCGTTAATAGTTGGCAATCGAATATCCAAATGCGAGCCCTTTTCTGTAACTATCTAACAAGTCGTCAAAAAATAATACGATTGTATTTTACATTGTTAATCTTTCGCTATCATATCGATGATTATATCTCGTTACCTTATTGTTCATTGCATATAATTTTGTTGCAATGTCTCTTGCAACTAAAGTCGTTAAAACAGTTGCGAGATAAGCTTCTTTAACGAGGAGATACTCCAGGGCCGATCTTTGCCAATAAACGTATCTACAAGAATTGGCCGCAACTATCGAGACCTATGAACGAAGAAATATTAGAAATATATATTTCATTTTAATAAGAAAGATTAACTATCATGGTACCTTAAATTTATCATCTCTGGATGCTCTAGAACTTTCAAATTCTGGTGAGTCTAAAAATTCACAGGGTAGAATTGGATGTAAAAAGTTGGTGTCACTAAGAACGTTGACCCTACCACTGAGCAATAAACCCAGCCTGTCCGTTTTAGTTAAGTTTTGCATTGCATATGCTTCACCAGCATGAAGGGACATCACTGTTGCGAGTTCTGGAGATACTAGTCTTTTAAATTGCGCCCTTGATACCTGCTCGAATCGTATGAACGAGTAATAAACTATGTTTTCTAGATTATCTAATATAGATAATATGACTTACTTTAAACGGATAAAAAAGTGTGTGATAGACCTCCTCTAATTCAGGATCGAATCTGACTGGTCTCATTTGATAAACAATATAAACCAATTGTCCAATATTTAACAATAAGAAGGTAAAGTTCCAAGAAAAGATATCTGGTGCACAGATCACGTGCCATGCCCATCCGGACAGCAGCATGAAACCTACGAAATAAAAACATTGATTTTTATCATATTTAATTAAAGAGAATATTTTCCGTAATAATTAGTGACAAAGAAAAAAAAAAAACAAAAAGAAAAATCAGAAAGAAGTAAACAAACATACCAACGATTAAAACGGAGTGCATAAACAATATACCCTTCTTTGAGGACGGTGCCGAGTAAGAGAGTGCAAAGCAGAAATTTGCTAATTGGAACAATATGTGTTGTGGCTGTTGCCATAGGCACAGTGCGGTATTACCTGACGAAAAAAGATATATTAGAATAAGATTTTCATTTAATGAATGAAGATGTTAATAGATTAAGAAAGGAGAGACTGAATGAAGGAAATTGTATATACGAGTAAAAGTATTGATATTTAACTGAATTATATTCCTTAACTGACCTATCGCTGTGACGTTATACGAAGGCAAAGGATCGTGACCCAATCCTGGGCTCATCTTTGTGCGATCTTAAAAATGTACAATATATGTATATGGTAAGAAAGTAAGGAAGACGCTTTCTATTACTACTGCGTGCCCATGTTTGTTTTGGTTAAAGATTCTTTGGTTTACCACCGTTTTCACTCCTAAATCGCTTTATGGCGCATGTCTATAGTTCATGCGCATGTACAAATCCTTAAGGATCGATAATTTTCCTGATCAGTTGGATAGATTTAAACATATCCTGTTTAAATTTTTTACAAGTATATACTATTACCGACTATTATCAATGAGATCAAAAAAACTGTGTTCTACAATTATCAAATGCTTCTATACAATAAATAAAATATTACTATTATTTTATACTATTATCTGCTCGATAAATGAAATCAGCATATTATTATTATCGTTAGTTTTTTACTCAAAAATTTTTTATTACCGACGAATTTAATCTGGTCGTTAAAAGAGGAATCTACTATTATCTAGTATTATTACTCGATCGCTAAAACGAAAATCTACTATTAGCAATATTTTTACGATCGGTAAAACAGGAATCTTCGTATTTGATTTAAGTATTTATAACTTTTAGTTAGAGAGATATTTCCATGTAAGTGGAAGATGTTTACGTTGATTCATTGAACTTAGTAATTTCATTCAATTGACTCGGCGACACACTAACCTATATAAATTCTGAGAATTTACGCGTCATTACTACCACTACTACTACTATTACTACGAACAGCAGGTATTATATGAATTACGAATGGAAATCTTTCGAAGGCGATATCTTCTGAATGAAAAATCGTAGAGACTTGAAACAAATACCATTTTAAAACGTAATTTATTTTTTATTTATTTAAATATTGCAATAATATCGATATAATAAAATCGATTTTGTTACTAATTTTTATAATTGAAATTTTTTTTTTTTCTTTTATAACAGGTAACGTAACTATAATGAAATCATTAAAATTTTTATTTATAATTATGTAAATTTTATTTTATTTATTTAAAATAAGATATATAAGAACTATTAACAGCCGCCAATGTACGAAGTTGAAAGATAAAAACCCGAAAGATTTTTCTTTCGTAATAAGAACGTAACAGGGAAATATCTCCTAAACTAATAATTTTTCGATATACGAAGCAATCAAAAACATATGATTCCATTTAAAAAAAATATACTTCATATATCCTTACGACTTTTCACAGAAACAAAGTTTCTCCATATCTCTGAACAAAGCGGAGATATTTAAGATGATTAAAATTATTGCTCCACTCTGTATATATGTATACATACATAGCACATCCATGCACATACACACATACACATACACACAGGCATACACACACACAAAATTGATTTATTCTTATATACATACATATCGTGCACCTCTACCTGTAGTAGATTTCCCGTATACAAATACAGAATTACCTTTCTATCGAACTCAATTCAATTTAACAAAAACACACTATCATTCCGATCTCATTCATCCAGCGTATTTTGAAAATACGTTTCATCAATGAAACATGTTTTTTTGTGTTTTTTGTTTTTTTTTTCTTTTATAATAATTCTCATGCTTATATCATACGAACATTCACATTCGATCTTAATTTAATAACAATATCATTAAAGATTATTACTCTTCGTTGATCTTGAAAGATTCGAGAGCACCCCTGATAATAAGGACGTCGGTAAGAAAGTTACCCTATGTTATCGACCGAGCACAAAATGATATGTAATTCTAAACAAACAAACAAACAAACAAACAAACAAAAAAAGAAGAAATTAAGAAAAAGAGGAAAGAACAACAAAAAAAAAAATCGCCAAGCAATTCGTTATATTAAAAAGAGAATCAAGTCGACGCCGTCACGTCTATTTTTGTTTTTGTTCCTTTTTTGTTCTAACAAATTGAGAATATTCTAAATAACTTAATCGAGAATATTCAATTTACTGTTCGTTTTTCTCAATTGAGCTCGCCACGGTATTATTTGTCCATCATCGGAATCATCGTCCCTCATGTCGTTTCCCTTCTCATCCGCGTTATTTTCGTTCTTTTCCTCCTTTCGATTGTTGCAACCAGCAGCCGCTGGCGAAGTGTCTCTCTTCGACGTCGTCGTAATATCTATTTTTACGGTTGAAACGGCCGTCACGTTTGACTGAACGTGATTGTTGTTGTTGTTGTTGTTGTTGTTGTTATTATTGTTGTTGTTGTTAATCCTAAATATATTATGATAAAAAGAAAAAAGCCAAAAAAAAACCATTTCTATTAATACTTAAATGTACCGTTTACTTAAATATCTACGTCAGTATATAGTTAAAGAGAAATACGTAAAAATGTGAATGTCAAAGTGTGATAATTATTAATTCTAAAAAAAAAAAAAAAAAAAACTGGTTTTATCTGTCCTACTTTTTATCCTCGTTGTCCTTTTTTGCTAGCAACTGTCTCTTCCAAGGTGGTATCGCTTTCTGTCTCCTTTCTTCGTTTTCCCTAGCTATTTGCTCTTCTAATTCCTTTTTAGCTCTTTCCGCGGCCTTTCTCGCCAACATCTGCCTCTTCCATATAGGTATTACGTTCCCTGAACTATCCTTTTCCGGAATCTATCAATGAAAACGAAGAATAAAAACAAAAACAAAAACAAAGAAAGAAAGAAAATAAACGAATAAAACTAAAAATGGAGAAAAAAAAAAACAATAAGTAAGAAAAGAGAAATTGATGTGTAACTTTACTTCGACGCTAAACTATCATCTTTTATTAGAATTAATTTAGATATTCATTTTTTCTTTTTCAATTATTACTCACTTGATCGACAAAATTAGACACGCTAAAAGCTTTGCTTATTTCCGATATTAAATTTTGTTCCTGTGTCTTTTCTACCTGCGCTCGTTCTACTTTAAGTTTCTTGATACCCGGTATATCCTTTGTTCTTTTCAATTCGGCTATCAGGTCTGTTTTTTGAATGAAAAATGGCTCCGACACTGTTCAAAGACAAAATGTAAATTATAATTCAAATGGATTATCACAAGATGATTATTTTCCTTTTATAAAACGTACCATTGGTCATTGAGGCGCTACGAGGTGGTGGCGCGGAGAACGTTTTAGTTGCATTCATTTTTGTATTAGTTCTTCTCAATTGAATACTCGTAAGATCCTGAATGCTAATGGTTGCCAATGGTTGCTGAGGTGACTTTGGACTTTCAGATTCGTTCGAGGGATTAATCGTTGCGCCAGTACTATTAACGTTTGAAATACCACGAGATTTTTGTAATGGTGATAACGGAGGTGGTGGCGGTCCTGGGGGAGATTCCTTTTCCTTTTTTTCGTTCTTTTGTCTTTCTTCTTCTTCCTCGTCTTCGTCTTCTTCCTCCTCTTCGGTATCCCTACCCTGACAATCTAAATTGTCCACAGATCTATAAAAATCATATCATTTAATCATAGATAGATGGATACCAAAGTGTAACATGAAAATTTATTTATCCCAAAACAAAACGACGATTTTAATCGTATAAATATACGCTAATACTTATTTATATCATTATACGAATAATTAAATGACAATATAATACGATACAAACCTTGCTTTAGAAAGAGTATTCTTTGTGACGTTTTTACAAATACTTTTAAGATACTCCGATGGTTTCAAAAGAGTATCCGAATCAGCCGCGTTGGCAAACTTTGGCGGTATGAACGGTAACACCATATGTCTGTTTATCAAGTGAGACGACTGACTCGTCTTAATTTCCTCGACGTCCGCGGGTGGACTGGCAGGAGGAACTTCCGGCTGTTGATGCTCGCCGCAGGATACGTCGCTCTTGTTGGTCGCTGTTCCGAGACAGAGAAAAGTGGTGGCGGTGCGGGCACGGGGGGCGGGGGCGGGGGCGGGGGCGAGAGAAAAAGAGAGAGAGAGGGGCGGGGAGGGAGAGAGAGAGAGGGGGAGGGGAGAGGGTTTAGATTCATTATATCTCTGCTTAAGAGTCTTTACTCTACAAACTATACGCGCTATATGTTTGAATAAAAGTGTGCGTTTATGTGTATGCCCGGAGATTGACTTTGGTATATACAACACAAACTAAGTGAAATCTAGGTAAGTATATTATATGCCCGTTGATCGACATGGTCTAGTAAGTGTCCGTGCTCGTGATCCGCTAAGAGATTTTTAATTAAAAGGCCAACGAATCACCCTAAATTGAGTGCCCCAATACAATTTACCAACTAAGCATTAGTCTTGGTCCTAATTAACGATCTCTCTTTCTCTCTCTCTCTCTCTCTCTCTCTCTCTCTCTCTCTCTCTCTCTCTCTCTCTCTGTGTTACTCACGTCATCTTGCAATTAATTGGACGAATTAGTTATTATCGTTAGATTATTTATATATGCATATAATTTTTTTTTTTTTTTTTTTTTTTTCCATGGAAATGCATCATTATTTGTGTCCTTTTCTTTTGGGAATGTGCAAACGACGCTGTATTACTATATTAAATTTTACTCGTTCTAACAAGCTTACATGTATATTACTTAAACGAGCGATCCTATAAAAATTTTCATCATTTCTAATCTTTCAAGGAGAAAACTTTTTTATAGATTAAAAAACGGAAAAAAAACGAAGAGAAAAAAAATATATAAATAAAAAAAAAATATATATATAGAACATGTTACATGAATTAAAGTAATTTAATGTTTGATTATTTCTAATCTAACGTGAAAAAAAGTTTCTGTATAGTAATGTATTATAAGATAAAAAGTATCTGTTTATGAACGGGAGCAGATATGAACGCGTATGTATGTGTATATATATATATATATATATATATATATACATACACAATATGTATATTTTTTATCAGACAATATTAGCGATGGTAAACGAATGCGGATGTATGCATGTATGTACGTACTTTACAAGGACGTGTAAAATTATTGGTAATTCTAATGCGGAAAAGAAAGGTGTCTGAGAGCTCGGACACAATATATCCACAAATATTTGAACACATACGCATATACATACGCAAACAGGCACACATACACACTTGAGATTCTGTCGAGCGAATCGACGAAATTATCCGGAATTTTTTCTTTCTTTCTTTCTTTCTTTCTTTCTTTCTTTTCTTTTTTTTTTTATTTTTTTCTTTCTTTTTTTTTCCTTTTTTTTTTCTTTTTTTTTTATTTTTTTTTGTTCACGAGGATGCTTTCAACATAAAACTTCCAGAAATTCTTTGCTCAACGGAATGATGCGCTTGAACGATTTACTTCCTCTAATAATCTACGCCTTTAGATTAGGCTAAAGTATCGATCATAATTAGATGCACTTCTTCGATACGATTATTTCTTTTTCCCTATTTTTAATTCCTTCTTTTTTCTTTTTTTTTTTCTTTTTTTTGTTATTTTTTTTTTCGTTCTCTTCAAAGCGTTCATAAAATATTATAAGAGTGACAAACAATGACTGTCATTATTAATCATGAAGAAAAAGAAGAACGTTACCGTTTCCATTTTTGTTCTCTTGACTATTGTCACCAGAATCTTTCTTCTCGTTATTGCTTTCACCATTTTGCTTTGAATTCACGACCAATACGACGATGTCCTCTCTGTCTGGTGGTGGTGGCGGTGGCGGTGGTGGGGGTTTGACGAAACTAAAAAGAATAAAATTAAAGAGACAGGGAGAGAGAGAGAGAGAGAGAGAGAGAGAGAGAGAGAGAGAGAGAGAGAGAGAGAAAGAGAGAGAAAGGAGATGTTATATTAGAAATATAATAAAATTATAAAAAATATTGTAAAATAACTCCGGTATGTGGGAAATTAGTATTTTCATTAATTTTATAGTTTTACAATTACCGTCATCCTGTATGAAAGTGTTACACGATATCCTCGTAAATATATTTTTTAATATATCTTTTTTCCCTTTCTTATTTTTTTCTTTTTATCATCCAACAGGACGATAGCAATCGATTCGTGGATGTCGTATCAATTGATACTTATATACCGGATGTATAATAATAGTGATAATGATGATAATAATAATAATCATATTAATAATAATAATAGTAATAATAATAATAATAATAATAATAATAATAATAATAATAGGAAGAAGAATTATACTTTTGAAGGATATAAATTGGTGCAAGTAGGCAATTCTCGATTCGGTCTACTTTCGATCGATCGTTTTTCTCTCTATATTCATCGATTTATTTTAGCCTACTTACCCAGGTCCACTACCATTGCTTGGCCTTATCTCCTTTTCACTTTCCACGTGCGTCGCCGAGGACTCTTTCCTTTCTGTAAAAATTAATAATTCTTTTTCTAGAATGAACTCCAGTAACGGTGATAAAATAATGCATATCTTCGTAAAATTATTATCGAGAATAAAATTTGATCGTAGATCGGCCAAGAGATTAGATAAAATAAGCGCGACGTGTAAGGCGTCACGAAAAAAAAAAAGGCGAAAACAAAAAAAAAAAAAAAGAAAAAAGAAAAAGAAATTCCGTGCTATCGAACATTCTGTTCCCCGTTAATGATTGCGACGAATTAAAATGAATTTTTTTCAAATTGTACAACTTTCGATGATTTTATGTAAACGATTATTGAAAAGGACAAAAAAAAAAAACATAAGAAAGAAAAAAGAAAAAAACAAAAATCAAAGATGACGTTTTAACGAGATAAAAGAAAGGTCAATGAACTTACGAGCTATAAAAATTCTCGAATTTTAATCAATGAATCGAAACTCGATGATTTCATTAAACTGCAAAAAAAAAGTTACTAGAAAAAGTTGTAATAAAGTTTCCTATCAGAAGATATAAATAATGGGTTTGATGATGATTTTGCAAAATTTTTCCAAAATTCTTTTTTCGTGGCAAAGAAAAAGAAAAAAAAAGAAAAAATAAATAAAAGATAATCGAAAGACCAAATGCATCTTCGAGCTGTACAAGAAAGGTTTGAATGACTTTTCAAGCGGCACGAAGACCCCCCTCCATCCCCTCCCCTCCCCTCTCGCCCGTTTCCCTCATGACTTTTGTTGACAAAATGAAAACAAAAATAGAAACAAAAACAAAAACAAAAAAACGAAAAAAAGAAAAAGAAAAAGAAATTAAACAATACAAAAGATTGAAGACTAATGATTCGTCAAGCCTATAAGAAACTCTATAATTTTATAGAATTAATGAAGAAAGAAGGAAGAGAGAGATAACACACACTCTCTCTCTCTCTCTCTCTCTCTCTCTCTAGTTTTTTCTACCATGTAATACTTCCGTGTTGATCTTCGTTGTCTTGTTGATTCGTTCGTTGCTACTGTTACGTGACAAAGATGGCGTCGACGTAGTTGATGAAAAACAATGTATCTCGCTGCTCATATTCGAAGATTCACTGGCACTACTCGATCTGCTATATCGTCGATTGGTTTTTCTCGATCGGCTGAAAGTTCGATGAATAAGAATATTTTTATCTAACGATTTAAATCGAATCGATTGATTCTCCCATCTCCCTCTACCTTTTAATCTTTCTCTATCTTCTTTTACATCCCCCCTCCGCCTCCCACCCTCCTCCCACCCAATCTCTCTCTCTTTCTATCTTTAAAAAAATTATTCCTCGTTACCTTGATTCTTATGAAATCCAAAAAACGAAGTGATATTAGATAACATTTTACTAACACACAACCGGTCTAAGCGACGCCCCGATGACGATTTCACTCGAAGAGCTACCTTCCAAGCATTTATATTTCGCGATCGCGACTTATCTCTCGCGTATGGAGAGAGAAAGAGAAAAAGAGAAAGAGAAAGAGAAAGAGAAAGAGAAAGAGAAAGAGAAAGAGAGAAAGAGAGAGAGACTATTGGCGTTTACGCTGACCACAGCTACACTCTCCATGTATATATTTCTTTTCTTTATTATAAAACTCTTCTCTTGTACGTTGCTGTAAAATTGATTACATATTACGTATATTTATACGTATCATCGACGATACGATTATTTTTTGAATTTTACTCCAATCCTGTTACTATTAAGAGAGAGAAGTTTTCTTGTTTTTCTTTCTTTTTTTTTTCTTTTCTTTTCTTTTTTTTTTTTTTTTCTTAACGATTTTTATATATCCATAAATCGATAAGTGAGGATACTTCTTTTTTTTCTTTTTTTTTTTTTTGTCTTTCTTTCTTTCTTTTTTCTTCGACGATATATCAAGTATCATATTTGTTTTTCTTTTTTTTTTTTCTTTTCTTTTTTTGTCGTTATAAATTATTTTAACGAATTGTAAATGAAAGATTGTCGATAAATTGAATTTATGTATCAAGATATTCGTCGTATATGAAGGATTTTTCAGGATAATATTTGTATTAATGTTCGTTAAGAATGATATTTTTCATTTTTGACGATATCGATATTTAATCGTTTTGATATAAATTATTATAATCAATTATAATTGAAAATATACGTCGATAATAATTCGTCTCGATTGTAAAAAGAGAAAAGAAAAGAAAAGAAAAGAAAAGAAAAGAAAAGAAAAGAAAAGAAAAGAAAAGAAAAGAGAAAAGAAAAAAAAAATAAACGATGCTTAGTACGCGAGCTCGCCCTTAAGATTTGGAGATGAATGGTTGTTCCTTCGTTCGGAAGAAAAAAGAAGAAAAAAAAAAAGAAAATAAAAAAAGAAAAAAAAAAAGAAAAAAAAGAGAGAAAAAAAGAAAGGAAGTAGAAATTTGAATTTCATATTTCGGTATATTAACA